GCCTCCCCACAGGGCTTTAGTCTGGCTACTCAGACTGAGGCTCCAGCTGGGAAAGGGTTAATCAAGGTCACTCAGCTGGTCAGGGAGAAAGAAAGAACCCTGCTGGAGGATCAGATGCTGGGGTGGGGAACTTTGGTGTAAATTGTGGTCAGAGGAAGGGTCATATCCCGTGGGAGAGGTAGATGGAGGGGTTTGGCACCCTCCCCCACTTGCCAATTTGCAGGGTCCTGGGGCGCATCGCCTGTTTCCCCTTGATTTAACTCTTTAGGTACCTCATCTCTGTGTGTACCCATGACTGAATGGGGGGCTGTGGAGCTGAGAAGTAGAGGACCCCATGGGGACCGAAGAAGTGAGGCCACCTGGTGGACAGGGACTGGGAGACTAGGGCTGGGTTCACATCAGGTTCTTTCCCTTGGGGCGGAGGACAGAGCTGGCTGCCCTAGCCAGTCTGCCACAGCTCTAGGCTGTTAGAGCAGAGGAGACTTCAGGCAGGAGGCTGTAACCATGCGGGGAGGCAGATTGTTGCTGCTCTACTGCCTATCCAGGACTTATGGGCCCGATCAAGCAGTCCTCGCAGGCGCTACTGTGCAGCGGGAAGCTCGGGTTCTGCTGATGCCTCCTGAGGTTCGAATCCTGGCTCTTCGGCTTCTCATCTGGGAACCTTGAACAAATGAATTGCCCTTCCTTTGTGCCTCGCTTTCCTCATCCATGAAAAGGGATGCTTCCTTAGCGGTTGCCATGGGAATAAGTGAGTTGTGCAGCACTATCTGGGACAGGTATCCAACAGCCAGAGCTGCTTTGATTGTGGTCAGTGGTGTGCCCGGTGAAGCTTTCAGCCTGCAATGTTAGCCAGAACAGGGCTGACAACCCACCGAAGAGTCAACCCGCAGGCCAGGCTTGAGTGTTGGGAGGGTCCTCTGGGAAATGACTTTGCATTCTTCCTTGTCCTCTGGCAACACACTGCTATTTTATAAACTTCCTGCAGTTCTAATGTGGGGCTGAGGCTACTGTGGCCATGTGACCCTATTTCTTAGCCCACAGTGATTGGCTCAGGAAGATCTGTGGACCATTGCCAAGTGAACCCTCCCAGAATTTTGGTGCCAGAGTATTTGGTGAAGAGATATACTTCCAAGCTGGTGTGGGGTTGCACGCCTGTCATCCCAGCAGTCAGTGCAGTCAGGAGCATCCGGAGTTCAAGGTCTGTCTGGTCTACGGAGACGGAGACCGAATGCCACCTTCTCCAGCAGGAACAAATGAGGCCATTGTCTTCTACGAAAGCAGAAAGAGGATGGGGGAGGGGTGATGAATGAACCAGTAGGGAGGCAGCCATGCTCGGTTCATGCCCTTGGCAGATCCAAACACCTTTGCCTTGAAGAGGCTCCGGTTGAAATGCTTGCAGTTCGGAGGGTCCTGATCTATGTGGAGACTGGCTGGAGGCCTGAGGATGCTTGCGCTGATGCTCACAATCCTTCCCTACCTAGGAATCACAGTCTCAGGTGAATTGCACCTGAGAGTGGCCTCAGCCATGGGACCCGCCATACTGATGTGTGCTTGGTGTGGCTGGGGTAGTCACTGCGTTGAGCTGGTTTATGGGGAATGAATAATGGAGAGGGGGAGCATTCTCAGAAAATGGTGGAACTCTGGCTAAAGATGCCTTCCAAGGAGAGAGACTAGAGAAGCCGCGTAGAGGAATAGTAGCCAGTATTGTTTAGCTGAAATGCCAGTCAGCTGAGTGATGGATAGGTGAATTGGGCAGGTGGGTAATGGTAGTACCAGGGCATGAATCTACTGAGTTTCTTGTACCTTGGGTTTTATGGGCTGGACAATGGGTGCCATGGAGGTATCTTTATTATTATCATTATTTAATATTTTTATGTGTATGTGTGTGTGCGTGTATGATGTGTATGAGTATGTAGAGGTCAGAGAACTATGGAGTTTGTTCTCTCCTTCCATCTCTGTGTAAGTTTTGAGGACCAAATCCAGGTTGCCAGGCATGTGCTGGAAACACTTTTACCTACTGGATCATCTCTCAAGGCCAACTTAGTTTGGTTTCAGAGCTGAAGTGAGTCAGGGCTCTTTAGAAGATGTTTAAGATGGGGAGGCTGATGTGCAGAACAGGTGAAGTCATGGTGGTGGGCTTTGAATGGTGGTCTTGGTTGGAGATGGAACCCCAGGAGCTTGTTGTATGTTCATCGAACTTGTTTTTTGGGGGAATCACTCCATTTTCCTTGATGAACCCCCTCCTTCCACCTCGGTCCATGTGGTTTGTTTTGGGGGACTGGCTCCACACCTACAGAGTCTGGCTTCTGACCATAAAATGAGCTACTTGTAGATCCTCCCTTCCAGCTCGGTGCTTGTTGTAGTGATGGCAATGTGGACGCTTGGACCATGACTGTCAGGCCGGCTGTTTGTGTTAGGTGAGCTACAGAAAATGAATTTTATGCCAGGCGTTGGTGGCGCACACCTTTAATCCCAGCACTCGGGAGGCAGAGGCAGGAGGATCTCTGTGAGTTCGAGACCAGCCTGGTCTACAAGAGCTAGTTCCAGGACAGGTGCCAAAAACTACAGAGAAACCTTGTCTCAAAAATCCAAAAATGATTTTATGTTCTAGTGGGCATGGGGCCAACAGGAAGTGAGGCTGGGACCCTTGCAAGGCACAATCGAGTCTACAGATGAAAACTGGTAGATGAGAGGTGAGACCAAGGCCCGAGGCCCCTGCTGGAACTCCTAAGTCACAACCAACTGCTCCCTGGGCAGTTCAGGCACCCGAGGCAACGACTCTGAATTGAGCTTTCTGTAGTTTGCTATTAAAAATCCTGAGACTCACGAGGTCATGGGGGAAGAGGAAGTCACAGCCACAAGGGGAAAGGGAGAGCCATGGTTGAAAGAAAAGTCTAAGCCTGAGTATCCAAAAGGATTATTTTGCTGGCAGGCATAAAGCTTATGGGAGAAGCCATTCTTACTGTAAGTGTGGATTTAACCAGAATCTCATAGCTAGATTCGCCAATGGTGGCTGTTCCCCATTGTCAGGAGAAAAGCAAATTCCAGGAGACTATGTTGGTCCTGAGGACTTGACTAGTAGCAAACTCCATCTAGGCTGAATTTCTGACTGAGCCATCCTCTCAACCCTCAGGTCTGGTCATTTTAATCATGTTTTGTGATTTCTAGAACTCCACCATCCCTTCTGAGGATGACGACAGGTGTAAATCAAAGATTGTCACCGAAGGTGCCAGGCAGAGTGGTGGACTGGGAAGTGGGTGGAGCTGGGAATATGTGAGGGAGGGATGAGGGCCAGGGGACAGATTGGTGGGAAAAGAGGTTAGAGAATAGGGTGAGGACAATCTTGGCTTCGGGGGCATCACCCTGGTGGGGTAGTCACCCTCAGGGGCTGACTCTGAGCAAGGATTTTAATGTAACTAATCAATTAATTTTGATTTTTGTGGTGCCAGGGCTTGAACCTAGTATCTTGTGTATTTTTGGCACAAACTCTTCAACTGATCTATATTCCCAGCCCTGCATTCACTTTAAATAGAAATATATTTATTTCATTACTTCTATTTGTGAGTGTGCATGTGTGTGTATTCATCATCAGTACCTGTGGAGGCTGGAAGAAGGCATTGGGTCCTCCGGAGCTGGGGTGACAGGTGGTTGTGAGCTGCCTGGTTTGGGTGCTGGGAGCTGACCTCGGGGCCTCTGCAAAAGCAAGCAGCAAGTGCTCCTAATTACGGACCATCTTCCCAGCCCCCTGTCTTTTACTTTTAGTCTGAGGGTCTCACTAATTTATACACCTTGGCCTCAGACTCATTCTGTAGCCCAGGAAGGCCTTGAACTTGTGACCCTCCTGCCTCAGCCTTCCAAATACCCAGGATTTCAGGCCTGCACCATCAGGTCCTCTACAATTTGGTAGATAATGCCAGGCAACAGCGACACGAGATTAGGAAAATGAACAGACATGTGCTCTCTCATTTTCATGATGACTATGTTGCTACCATGTTTGATTTTAAGCTACTGGTGTAGGCTTTCTGAATGAAGAATTAGGAGAAAGGTGGGACATCCCAGTCTGTTTTCTGTGGCTATAATAGAATATTCAAGGCTAGGTACTTTAGAATGCAAAAATTGGTTTAGTTTATAGTTTTGGAAATTGAAGTGTCAACCTCAAGTGGTCCCCGTTTGGAATCTGGTGAGGGCCTCAGATAGGTGACAATGGAATGGCAGGAGAGTGTGCAGAGGACATCACATGACAAGGAATACAGGGAGCTTCAAGGGTCAGGTTTGGTCTCAACACATGTGTGTGTGTACGTGTGCATGTGTACACATGTACATGTGTGTACATTGATGTGTGCAAGCCAAAGGTTGAAGTTGGTGTCTTCCACTATTGCTTTCCACCTTAGCTTTTGAGATAAAGTTTTCACTAAACCTGGAGCTTGGCATTTCAGTTAAATTGCCTGGTTAGCAAGTCCCAGGAATCCCCTGTTTCTGCGACTTCAGTGTTGGGGTTACAGGTGTGTTCTGATATGTCTGTGTGCTGGGTTGTGGACTTGGGTTCTCATGCTTGCACGACAAACAGTTCACCCACTGAGCCATCTTCCTAACTCCAAGGCCTGCTCTTGTTATAACATTATTTATTTATTTATTTATTTATTTATTTATTATTGTATACAATATTCTGTCTGTGTGTCTGCCTGCAGGCCAGAAGAGGGCATCAGATCTCATTTCAGATGATTGTGAGCCACCATGTGGTTGTTGGGAATTGAACTCAGGACCTTCGGAAGAGCAGGCAATGTTCTTAATCGCTGAGCCATCTCTCCAGCCCTATAACGTTTTATAGCTACTACAAGAGGCCAACATTAATCACTTCTCATGAACCCTGATGACACATGCCTTCAATAGGGCTCCACTTCTCTTCCTCCTCCTCCTCCTCCTCCTCCTCCTCCTCCTCCTCCTCCTCCTCCTCCCCCCCCTCCTCCCCCCCCTCCAAAATCCGTTTATTGGGATTGTGTCTAAGAGCCGGTGTTAGTTGTTATAGAAGCAAATGTTCCTCCTGAAGTCAGCCTTGCTTTCCGGCCTGTAGGCTGACAGAGGACAGTGGAGCAGCCGACACACAGGACTACCATCTGTGCATGGCTAAAGACCGTGGTGATTCTATAGCATCCTGGGCACTTCACATCCATAAAGTAGGAATTGGGGCTCTGCATCAGGAGCTTTTTCTTGCGTTTCCTCTTTTCCTCTTCTGGAGACGGATGAAGGAGATCCTTTGCGAGAGGCATGTTCTTGTAGGGAGGTTGCCATTGCCAGAAAGCCAGGCTGCACACCTCCCCAACACCACACAGGGACCGAGCTTCTAGCACAGGAGTCTTTGGGGGCAGTCCACAGAGCTGGTTCCCACGCATTGGCATTAGCTGACTTTGGCACATCCTGGGAAGTAAGAAAGGGGAGGGAGGACGGCAGTCAGAAAGGGTGCGTAACTGAGCCCATCACCTGTGAGCATCTGGGGCTTCATACTGATAGGGAATGGAAGGGACACATACTTAGGTCATTCTACTCACGGGCTGGACTGCAAGTCTTCACTGAGTCCCCCCATGTCAGGGACTGAGGGGTTCTTCCCCAGGGGTTGCCAGGCCAGGCCAGGGCTATGTTTGTCAGAGAAAGACACCTGGGGGCTCGCTGGCAAGCTTGCTCAGAGTGGAAGGAAATGGGGTCCTTGGATTGTGGCCAGCAGCAGGCCAGGCCTTCTTTCTAAGCCCCTCACAGCTATCTCCACCAGATCTGCCTTCCTGTGAGGTGAGAAAGCCTCCTTGGCACTCGGAGGCCATTTTATTGTTCTCTGGGCTTGTGGAGTTTCTTCTGGGTTGCTCAGTTCTGTCTTCTGTCTGGGCTATGTAAGGGTGGCAGTGAGGGTCATATTAGGATGGGCTTTGCAGGATTAAATTCCATGGGCTCTGGAGGAAAACGCTCTTTTCTGTTGTTTTTATGCTTTGCTTGTTTTTTTGAGATTGTATGTCTATATAGCCTAGGCTGGAACTCGGGAGCATCCTGCCTCAGCCTCCACCCTGCCTCAGCCTCCAGTGCAATGTGTACTGCCACGCTCAGCTCTGTTTTCTTAAAACAAAACAAAACAAAAAACTCCATTCATTAGTTGGCAGCTTGCTGACTGGTGGCTTGCTGTATAGCAGAGACATTGACCCTCCTGCCTCTGGCTCACTAACATGAAGAACTATGGTTGTCTGAACTCAATTTTGGACATAGGAGCATGGCCAGCCTTGATGTGCCAGAGACAGGAATGGCCTTTTCAGTTGAGCTCTAGGAAATGGAGGGCAAATCTTCCTTCTAGGCAGGATGCCCCACAGGTATGTCTGAGGTGGTAGGAACGAGAGGTAGTGTTGGCACCTTCTGCTGCCTTCCTGTGGCTCATTCTCCTGTGCTTGCTCTGGGCCTGCTCCCCAGAGACCCCAGAGACCCGCTTCTAGGATTCCTGCTCTTGTTCCTTGTTCCTCCCAGACTCCACGTTATCAATAAATCCTCACTTCCCAGGGTTAGTGGTCTTCAGAAGTGGGGCCTTGGAGGTGGTTTGGATTCAACAAGGGCCAAAAAGGCATGGCACAAGCTGGCAGGTGTGGCTATGGGAAGAGAGGAAGAAAGGTCCAAGTGCGCGCACTCTCTCTCTCTCTCTCTCTGTCTCTCTGTCTCTCTCTCTGTCTCTGTCTCTCTCTGTCTCTCTCTCTGTCTCTGTCTCTCTCTCTCATCTGTGCCATGTGAATGTGTGGTAAGAAGGCCCTTACCAGACGCAGACATCAAGCCAATAAGCCTCTGTGGTGTAAAAATGATTTAGTCTTAGGTATTTTGTTCAAGCAGCAGGAAAAAAAAAGAATGAAAAATAATCTGGGCCACAGAGTATGTCATCAGCCTTTTTGGCTTTTAAACTAGATGTCCTACCAGTAGTGCCCTTTGTGCCATCCTCTGCCCATGTAAGCATAGTACAGCTTGAAGGGCTTATCAGTTTTAATATCTGGGTGAAGAATCAAAGACTGTAAAAATCCAAATATTGGCAAGCAGGCTAATGGCAGAAAGGAGCCTGCATATCTGCATATCATCTGCATACCTGTATATCATCTGCATGCCCGCATATCATCTGCATGCCCGCATATCATCTGCATACCCGCATATCATCTTCATACCTGCATATTACCTGCATATCTGCATATCATCTACATACCCATATACCATCTGCATACCTGCACATCATCTGCATATCTGCATATTATATGCATATCATCTGCACATCTACATATCACCTGCATATTTGTCTATCATCTGCATGTCTGCATATTCTCTGCATATCATCTGCATATCTGTGTATTCTCTGCATATCATATGCATATCTGCATATTATCTGCATATAATTTGGGCATCTGCATATCAGGCCCTTTGTCTCCTGAGTCCCAGCCCTGTGCTTCTATCTGTGAGATGGTTGGTCGTCAGTTCTTGGCTACTTCTCCTGGATGGCTGCTCTGAGGTGTGGAGATTGGCTCTGGCCTCTAATCAACGGCACAGAAGCCTATATTGTTCCAGTGGGAACTTTTCCCAGAGTTCTCCTCTCATCTCCGGCACCTCTCTGGTGTCATCTCTCACCTCAAGTGTTGGCACTCTGTGGTTCTATGGTTCTAGCCGACTTCAGGAAGCACCTTGATCAAGTGACACCTTGCTGTAGGGCCTTACTTACCTGTGGTTTTCTATTGCTGTGAAGAGGCACCTGCAGGAGCTGGACCCACAGATCTCGGGGACTTGCTATCTAACAGCCTTTCCCACCTGCAGAATCAAACTACTTCTAGTTCTCTGAACCTGAACGCTCTTACCTCCAGGCTGCGGTGCAGGCTGTTCCCTCTGTCCCAACATACATCTCCCCCTGGAAAATTCTGTTGTATCTACCCAGATTAGCTTAAATGTGAGTTCCATGGAGCAGGTGCTCTTGAGTCCCATGATCTCCTGAAGCCCCGGGGAATAGCCTCTGCTGGCTGGGATGGGCCTGAATGAGGAATCGTGTCTTTCTGCTGAACGATAAACTCACAGGTCAGGACCATGATTGACGGCCTTTGTGCTACACGCCAGCCATAAAACCTCATACCTCAGCAGCAGTGCCAATGTCTGGGGGGCAAATCAGAGGGCTAAAGGACTTCTCTGGTCCTCCCTTCGGAGGGAATCTAGAGAACTCTGATCCAGAGGAGAAAGAGCTTCTGCTTGGTGGCCTTTGTGCCCTCGGGTCCGAGAGAGAGAGAGAGAGAGAGAGAGAGAGAGAGAGAGAGAGAGAGAGAGAGAAATGGCCAGAGGGAGGGCAAGGCGGGGAGGATAAAGGAGCTGCTCCATAGCCTAGAAGAAACGCGCCCGCGAGTCTCTCTCATCTCTTGTCCGAGAGTCACAGACAAGAACTCAGAGTCCCTGTCAAAGTTTCAGGCAGAAACAATAACTTGGTTCTGACCTTGCTCTCTTCAAAAAGCAAGTTGCTGCTGAGCTGCAACATCAAAAAGAATAAATAATTGTTTTTCTTTTTTGTTGTTATGATATGGATCATCTGAGCGGTTAGTGGTAAGCAAGCAGCTTTGATTCCACTCCGGCTCCCTAGCGTTCCAGCCCCTCTTTATGTCAGCAGGCTCCTGTTTCCACCCCAGGACAGCAGAATCCCTTGATTAAATTCATATTTGTTTTAATCTTTCCCTGTGTCTGATCTCCAGCTCAAAGATGGTCAGGAGGAAAAAAAAAGCCAGCTGCCCCGCTGCGGCCATGGGAGGGCCCGTGTCAGGCCCCACGCTGTTTCTTCTGCCCGGTGTGATAAGGCGGCCAGCCTGTGGTGCCCGGCTGGGCCCATGGTCCCAGCCCCAGGCTGGCACTTCCGGCAGCTTCAGGGACACCTATGGAGCTGCTGGCTGCAGGAGAACAGAGAAGGCCAGGCAGGAAGCCAGCCATGCCGGTGTCCACCTTGGGTTGGACTCCTGTCCTGGACTTAGCATGCCAGAATTCTCTTTAAGATTTTTTTAAGAGTCTTTATTTAAAATTTTATGTTTTTTCCATTTTAAAATGAATTTGTGGCTTGGCCAATTTTTCCTGACCAGGCATGTTAAAACTGTACGCAACTCCATTTTTTCTTTATTTTATTTTTCTGCAGTGTTGGGGCCTAAACCCAGAGCCTCCCACATGCTAGGCAAGCACCCTGACATTGAGCTCAGCCGTGAAGATTTGGAGTTGAAATTACAGAACTCAGGTAGACAGAATAGCTTGCTACCCTGCTTGGTTCATTGCCAGGCATTGCCATTTGTCTGCATTCCGTATACACACCATGCTTCTTCCCCTGTTCCCCCAGCCGTCTGGCACATTGGTGAGCAGCCCTAAGTACACAAGGTGGCTTTGAACATAGATGCGAATGAGTGTTTATTTATTTGAGACAGGATCTCATATAACCCATGTAGACCTCAAATTTGCCTGACAACCTTCAACTTCTGATCCTTCTGCCTCTACTTTCTGAGTACCTAAGCTACAGATGTTTGTCACCACATCTGGTTTTATGGAGTGCTAAGAACTCAACCCCTGGCTTCCTGTTTGTTAGGCAAGCACTCTACCAATCAAGCTATAGCTTCACCCTGTTTGTATAGTTTTGATTGTGGTAAAATACACATGCCTCTTACCTTTTTATATATGGAAGGGGGAAACCGATCCTTTCTAATTCAAGAATTCCTTCAGTACAGCCTCAACCAACCACTGCTGTAATTTAAAAACAAAACAACAGAAGCTGGAGAGAGAGCTCCACAGTGAGGAGTCAGTTGCTGCTCTTCCAGAGGACCTGGGTTCAAATTCCCAGCACGCACATAGCTCTCTCATAACTGTCTGTACTCCAGTTCCAGGGCATCTGGCGCCCTCTTCTGGATTCCTCAGGCACTGTATGCATATGGTGCACATACATATATGCAGACAAAACACCCATCCACATTGAAAAAAATAAAAATGAAAAGTGCCCTTTTGTGGTGCCTCCTAGGCATTGGCTGTGTCAAGATGAAACCGAATATCTCTCTCGCAACCATCAGCTATCAGAAACTCATTGAAGTGGATGATGAACACAGGCATTGTGTGTTCTATGAGAAACCCATGGGCACAGACGTAGCTGCTGATGAAATAGCTCTGAGTGAAGAGAGGAACGGTTATGTTGTCTGGATCATATGTGGTGGGAATCACAAACAAAGTTTTTCCACAAGCAAGGTGTTTCAACTCATGACAGAGGGAC